AACCTTAGGGACATGGCTACATGATGTGGGGTTGGCGACATCTGGGCGCCATCCTCGAGCGTAGTATACTAACGTGAAGGTTTTTCAGTTTTTTCCTATCTTCTACTACAGTTTTGGTCCGATTCTTTTGAAATTGGTGTCGTCGGAAAGATGTTGTAAACGCGCACAACTCCTGCGTGGCGGAATTTTGTTTTTTGTCATAGGGGCGAAATTAACGACCTTTTGCGAGGCGCGCGCGCGCGTCTTCGAGAAGTAGTCAACTTCTGGCGCCTTTTACCTTCCGTTGCGAACTCACGCGGTTTAACGTTTCGTAAATCTCGAATCGCTGTCTCTCTTTCTCGTGTCGCCAATAGAAGTGAATTGCGAGTGAACGGGACGTCGGAAGTGGGTACCGTAAAAGAGAATGTGGTAGCCCGCGACACGATCTCACTGATGGTGGAGTCAAATCTTCAAACGCGAATTGCGGGTGAACGGGACGTCGGAAGGGGGTACCGTCAAAGGGAATGTGGTAGCCCCCGACACGATCTTCCTGATGGTGGAGTCAAATCTTCAAACGCGAATTGCGGGTGAACGGGACGTCGGAAGGGGGTACCGTCAAAGGGAATGTGGTAGCCCGCGACACGATCTCACTGATGGTGGAGTCAAATCTTCCATCGCGAATTGCGGGTGAACTGGACGTCGGAAGGGGGTACCGTCAAAGGAAATGTGGTAGAATTTTTGAATGTTTTTAAACGCGTCTGCTCGGGAAAGTTGCCCAGATAAATCGTCTGCTGCTGCAACTATGAATTTGGTGCACATTTCCGAATCAGATTGCAAAAAATCATACGTGTACCAGTGACGAGGTATTATGTGATTTGGAACAGTTTTCAAAATTCGCCCCCCACGCTAAGTTGACCGCCGCAGGCCGGCAGACGGGCGATTTTGGAATCACACGCTGACATTCTACTGCCTAGTTACATCAAACCTTTTGTACCCTATGACGAGGTATTTTCTACGCGGGCTCTCGGTCTATAACATATCTCCAATAAAATTTATACACAAAGAAATATTTCACTTTTGGAAATAATGTTCTCTCTTATTTCATTTAACATATCTGGTTTTTTTTTGTATCCTAGTAGTCTAACACTGAGAATTTATTTCACACAACTTCGAATATAAGATAGGCATGGCTCATATTGGGTCAAAGGTTCGGACACACACAGAATCTTTCACACCGTATAGCAATAATGTCCTGTTGTTGAAAGTTTGCAATTTCTATTTCATCAACGTGGGCAGAATATTGTATTTCCCTTTTAATTGGGAATACGACACCAGACGTTATACAAAATGTCGAGCAAAATGTATTATATGTCACCATTTGTCGTAAGTAACTTATAAATTACTTATTTAAATTAAATCTTAATCTTACGAGCATGAAACCGGTGCCTACCTATGTACTAATTTCTAGTAGGTGACAATAAATACGGTTAAAAAGTATGTAAAACTGGAATCGCTATTAGAAGCCGGTTTCAAAGTTGATACTAGAAATAAATGTAATGTCTTTTTGTTGTAAAAATACCGTTTGTATTTAATATTATTATACATAGATATGAGCATGAAGGTTATACGGTTATATGCCGTGTAATTTTGGTCAAGGTATCCACAAGGAAATCCCAGATTAATTTTCTGCTTAACTTGGAAGTTCCTTTATCCCTTATGTTATGTTGACGTCAGGTATCCCTAATTTTAGTTCCTATTATTTCGCTTATTTTAAACCGAGTTTTAAACCATTAGGTACCTACCAGGTAGATATTACTTTCCGTTGCGCTATTTAGCAACAAACATGCACAATGAAATTAACAATTTAAAAACCAGATTCTTCGAATTGCCTACCTGTGAAATTATGCACATATTTTCCTTTTTTCATGCTGAAGCGACTTGACATCTTCGCAGATAGATTCGGCATTGTAAAACGCAATTTTCAGAAAATCTGCTGAAGAATGCCGTGTATTTAAAATTTTAAAGGCGCGCGCAATGACAGACTGTGGAGAGAAAAGCACTGTAAAATGCCAAAGCTTAATTAACTGCAGCAGCGGACAGAAATTGGACGTGAACGATAGAGACCTTTCGGATTATGCAGAAGCTGAACGTTATCTACTAAATATCTCGCTAACTATATTATGTATAAGCATATAAGCAGACTTATCAGTTTAAAGACTGAACTAAACAAGAGAAACAAGATATGGCTAGAATGGAGTATTTGGCCTAATTGTATAAATTATCTGGTTATTGATTGAAATGCAATTGAGTTTTTTCACACCCCTTCTTCTATACGGTTGATGGAATGGTACCTGCTCGGGTACCTGTATAAACTCTCGTATAAACGTAAGAAAGATAAATTCAATATAACATGTTCAATTCGCTCGTCAATAAACTTTGTGAACACTTGCAGAATTACAAAAGATTTTAAAATGCTCCCACGGTGTTTTTTGACCGAGGCCTCGTCCACTGTTATGTCAATAACGTTACAAAATTTATATTTTGGAGTTAACAAACGGAGATCACCTTGGATTAATACTCACAAACCCTATAGCCACTACGTTCCATATTACTTCAGTGAATTTGTGGTCATGTCGTACCTGCGAGGGTACCGGTGAATTTGTGGCCATGTAGTACCTGCGAGGGTAGCTATAGACAAACTTACCCTGTATGTTACATAACTACAACCAAAAATTAGCGCATGACCAGTTTATTACAACCTCGGTTACAGCCTTCGTATGCTACTTACCTACTCAATATTTAAAAAGAAACAAAATGTCACTCAAATAAGTATAAGCTTATATTTTCTCTGCACTTATTTTGCTATGAATACTATTAACATTGCTATTAATAATAAATAATGTTGGCCATTTTGTGTGGACTAATTGTGGACCTACATAGAAACAAGAGATCTCGCCTTGTGCTTTGGTGCATATTTGGTAGCATATAATTATGAAGTAGGTAGTCGCTATAGTGTATTGCGAGGTGTATTGTAATATAACTGGCTGACACCGACTGTAGCCAGTGAATCGAAATTAATATACGATGTCGTTTTGTGGGTTTTTGGTATATTTATTATGTTCTTCTCAATAGCCGAAATCTGGCATTTATGCCAATTACGCGTTCTAAGCAGTGCAGTTTACCCACAATGCGATATGAGTCTAGTTTCCGAAGAATGGGTAAAAAAATTTAACCAGGTACCACAACCCGAAACCAGTACCTATGTGCTCTTGCTTCGGGGTGTGGGGCTGGGGGTATGTTCGTTTGCTCACTTCGCGTTGAGTGCAATTAGAGTTAGCCATATAGCCTCGCATATAGAGCCTTTAAATGAAAAAGTAAAAGTAATGTGCAAACAAAGATACCCACAACACGAAACAGGAGCACATGAGATATGGCTTCGCATTGTGGGTGAATAAATATGCCCAGAACGCGTTTTGGTTAAATCGAGGGTTAAATTGTTTTACCCATTCGTCGGAAAACTAAACTTATCGCATTCTGAGCAAACAGCAGTGCCCACAACGCGTTATGATTATACATTTCGGACATTGTCCTATTTCGGCTATTGAGAATAACATATATAATCGAGAATATTGTTTAAGGGGAGGATATATACATTTTTAAAAACTTCTGTAGCATCGCGTGAGGCATAATATGTAGGTGCAAATGGAAAAAATTTAAAAAAAGTCATGAGAACCTCATTCCTTGTACTATTATTCAAACCGGCCTGGAACTATTATGGACTCGTCTGCGTTTCTCCCGTCTATGTTAATAGATATTCTTCAATTTACGTTAATTTTATATAACGTATAACTCTTTTTTGCTAAAACGAGAAAGGTACCTATTCCATTACCTCGTCTACTACTAAGTATGTATCTACATGCGTACAATATTTGTAGATATTACCAACTTAAATATTTAAACTGCGTGGTCAATCCATTTGACCCATTTTCAATGGGCTTGTTACATGTGGCTTATAGGTCAACTGTGCCAAGTTTGAACCGAACCAGATCACGCGTTTGCCAGTTATCGTGTTCACAGGCAGACATGCGCCTAAAACCTCGCCTAAAACATACCAAGCACGTCTTCAGACTTCGATTCCGGAAATGATATGCAATAAACGAGGTAATAACTCAACAAATTGTAGGAAGTGCTAATCCTTCCATGTTGGAATAAAATAATAATAACAGGCGTTCGATTATTATCTTTGGGTTTGGTCTCTTTCTAGCATGAATGTAAGGCAGTTTCATAGTAAAGTAGAACCTCTTACGCATCGCTCCTTGTTTAGCGAACGCTGCTGATTATCATTCCCTCTCCGTCTCACTCGCGACTCCCGACTCGGCGAGGTCGGTAGGTTTTTACTTAAATGACCGTAACTTTTTTATTATGAAAAATTCACGGTAATGTTATAGAAAATAAAATAATCACAATGCTTTGGAGCATCGAATGAGCTATGAATATTGGAAATCGATATCGTTAAATAAAAAGTTATGAGAGTTCAAAGTGCGCAAAGTTCATCTGATACACGAAGTTCACGGTCATTTTTCTAAAAACTGTGCATAACAAGGTAGGTAAATATGAATGCTTTAGATTCTGCTGTAAATGTACTTTCATTTTACAAAAGGAATTATTGATGTATATCGCTTAGTTGCTGAGAAAATAAATCCTTTCGGTGGTCTAGTCGCGCGCGCGAAAATGAGTAAAGTTCAACTTTAGCGGCCTATAACTTTTGTCAGGACCACGGGAAAATGTCGTAAAGCGAGATTCTGAAAGTTCAAACATTTCTGAAGAAAATGGTGTGAGTCCCATTTCTTTCTACTCCGAAAAAATGTTTTGAACGATTTCGCGGCTCTCTCCGCTGCACTATGAGGTTAATAGGGGATTATAATGTACGTACATACATACATCTTAATTTTGTGACAAAATGGAGCTAGTTGGACAGAACTTTCACGTAGAAAACCAAGCATGTACTCAGTCTAGCCTACCTTTTTTTCTAGACATCCTTCGCCTTCTGTAGTTTCTCACTATAATTCGGTTTGCCACGGGTTTCCCTGTGGAGAACTCCACAATCTTCATCATGCAGCACAGTAATACCACCAGCATGTCTTTAGGAGTATACGAATAGTATGGGTATCATTGTTTCAATATATTTTGATTACAACTCACTCTTTTTTAAACGAGTTCTTACCGTTAACGTTTTTAAAAACAATTAAAAAGAATATAAAAATACAAATGTGTTACGAATTTTTAAACTAATTAAACTTGACGGACAATAGTGAATAAGTCATCGTTCACCACGTTATCAACGCTATCATAATCGCTAAGCAGGAAATGACGTTTTGTTAGAACATCCAGCCGCATAAACCACATTTCACACAACTAAATATGTTTCACGAATATGAAGACCTCAAGAACACGCGTAGATGTATGTACCACTACCTACTATAAAGCCTTGTTTAATAAGTACATAAAAGGACCTATTGTTAAATTCTAAAAATAACATCCAAAATTATGTTAGGGGTTAGTGTAGTTATCTTGTTCGTTAAAATATAATGGCCCGCTAATTTAATATTTTATTGTTACCTAAACGGTAAACTCCAACCCGTAGGAGACTTTTGGAAAATTGAGGTAGGTAATGGGTAGGTACAAAGGTGTAAGTTTTCGAATAGACTATGTACCTAATTAAATTTGAAAACTTTTTTTTATACTATAATATAACCTGGCAGTGAACGATAAGGATAGAGCTTGAAAAAGACTATCTGGACCGATTTTTAAAAATTGATACGGCAGCGAAATGGATTAAAACTAAGCAAAGAGATCATAATAGCCCGACTGCCTCATGGTCATGGGGACGTAGATGTAAAAAAATGGAGCAAATGCAACTTTTACATCTGCTGAGTGCTGCAGTTCACCAATAATAACAATAAGAAAACAAACACTATACGAGAAACAGTAACACATTTGCATTTAAATATTTTTAGGAACGCTATTTGTATCTATAGTAAATCTTACTATATGCACTTCAAAATGGCCGCCACCGGTTCATCGCGCCAAAACAATGACTAAGTCACAACACACGTGGCCGATTTCCTCAATTGATATGATAACTTAAAATCACTCAGTTTATTGCAAAACACAAATACTTGCTTGATAAAGAATGTCCAATGCCTCGTTCACATTTAAATAATTAAAAATCATCAAATATAAACTCTAATTGAATATGGCGGTTATGATGCAGTACACCATGAGGTTACTAAGCGAGGGAAAGAGTTACATTTGTGCACACGGTGCTAACGAGATGCACAAATACTAATGTCTCACGTACGTTCCTAGGGGAACATACGCTGTAGCATTTAGCGAACACACGCATAATGTCGGAGATCACATACACCATGCTTAAAATAGCTTCATCTTAAAATAATTGCGTGAACGGCAAACTCTAAGCGGGAGATATTTTAATTGTTTTATTAGCTAGCAGTCCACGTGGTCATTTCATTAGATCATTATTTAAATACTATGGTGAAAAAAAAGAGGATACTACTCTTTCGTGAAAAGAATGAACGAAGAATTTTTGAGTTTTGCTCGCATGGAAAATGTATAAAGGAGCTCTTTGAATAAGACTTACGTAAACATTTTTGGAAACATTCGCTTGAAGACAGACCGTTTTATACTTTCATGTAATTTTAGCTAGATTTCTATCTACCTATTGACTATTGTAATGGTAACACTAGAGAATGGTATTGTTTGCCATATTTAACCATCTCAGATCAAATAATCTATTTGACGACGAACTTTTTTACCATAGAAAACTTTTTTTTGGGAAACTGGGTCTCTAGGAAAAGTGTTACCTACTGTTACATTTTCTATAGGAAAATCTTCCTATGCCTATACTCGTAGTGTACCATACTAATTACTATCAAACGAAATTGGTAAAGATATCGCATGAAAGAGTGCCAAGAAAACGTATTTCTACTTGCTTTTGTTACTTACGTTACTTTTTAGCCTTAGAGATGATTACACATTTCACGATTATACTTTTCCTGTTTATTTTTCAATTAAAGAGTTCTATATCACGAAAGAATGTAAAAATAGGTAAAAGTAAAACACATTCACGAAAAATGGGGTTGTTAATTGTGTCTTGAGGGGATTATCAAGATTTCATTTAATATACACTGCCGTTAGGTAAGCGGAGAATAATGAAGTGAGCAATTATCTTCGCTTGCTTAAAAGGTGGAATTGATGAACACTTAGGGTACATTTATAGAGAACAGGGAGGTATAACTGCCGTTCCTACATAGCAACGACCGTGTGTTCTATGTAGAAACGTTTTATTACCTTCGATGTCTTTTGTCAAGCCTGTTTTAAATTACCTAATTTAGGTCCAAGGTGGCTGTTATTCAGCTGAAGCTTAAGTAAAGAAATATATTAGGTACGATTTAATAATTAAAATGAAATCGTCTTGAAACCTTCTTTTTGATGTCTTCTTTATATCAGGAAATGTTCCATCACAGGGGCAATAACCTTTTCTTGCCTCCTTTTTTATCGCACTCAAGCTGTATATGATTAGTCATTTTATGTTAAAAGAGATTTTCCCAATTTTGGGAAAAATTGTTGTGCGCATAAATCATATTCAATCAATGGCAGCCTCAATCAAAAAATCTACCGAAATCAGGGAATTATATACTCTCCCATCGTAAATGCATTTCCTTTCAAATCTAGAGGAGTAGGTACGGGACGAAACAATTTAAATACCAACCCCAGAATTGTGCAGATTTCCTAGAACACTGGAACAGTTATACTTATAGCGAGCATGTTCGGGTCCCCCATTTCACCATATAACATTGTAATCCCTATATCCTTTGTAATTGTAATTATGTAACATGGGAAGATAATCGTCAGCTGCATGCTTCATTACATTACATCAATGCGGTATAAGAAAGTCTTAGTTATGCTACACACTAATTTGTTTGGGTTTATGCTTCCTCACAACGTTTTTTGTTATCCCACATCGGTGCAAATTCATCTTGTCACAATAAATGAAATTATGTCATAATTGCATCTAATTTGTTGCCGAAATGCTCCATAACTGGAGGTGTTTCAGCAATTGTTGTGTTTTTTAGAAGATTTTGCGCTACTCTACGATAACGTGACTCAAAAATTATATTACACCAATCATCTCCAGGCATTCCATCTTTAAATGGCGTCGGCCCGTCGGGCGATCCATTCTGCAACACCGAAGCTGATGGCGCACTAATGTTTTAAAAAAAATCCCAGATTTCGCAATTCATGCAACCATCGGAGACATTGGAAATGATAACCGTATAAAACCATATGTCGATCATATCATTTGAAGTCAATGTGATTTTGTATTGGAATTATTTGATTAAGTAATTGTTTTGTTTATTTTGATTTGTAATATGTAAAGTTAATTGACGTGTTAAAAGATTTAGTTTATTCGTCTGGCAATATTGGAGTATTCTACTTCATGATTTCATCGTATTTGTATGGCCAATTAGTGTTTTCTTTTGCTGACAAGTGGCACAGAATTTATAAAATTTGGTCATTTTCAGGAAGGGAAGAAGAGAAAGCTACAATAAGCAGACTATATGAAAGAGGTACATTTTTTATTAGTCATATTTGAGCTAGTCGAAGGCAATTAATAATCATTGGTACCCCAGTTTAAGAAATTTTTCTTCCGAATTTAATGACCCCACAAAATAAGAAAGCTCATTTCGTTGCCTTAATTTCGACAATATAAGGGAGAGCATAATTGGGGCCTATTTACTGTCATCGACAACAATTAAATAGAGTTTGGGGAAATCTTTATTACATATAAAATCTAATAGAAAATTCATAATCATGTCTAAAATATTTGGTTTTGTGTATAACGAACATTTTGCACCTGTTCCGAGATCTTCGACTATGCCACCCTTCCTTCTGGTCAATTTTTTCTTACATACGTTGACATTTATAAATCATTGGCCATTGCAACCCGTCGCAGCATTAGAAATAAAAAAATTATCAAAGTCCTCGTTTGAGATCGAAGGGACTTCAGCGCATTTTTGTGTGGCAGATCAGTATTCTATTAGCCACTTTCGATTCAACCATCAATAACAGATCTTGTCGAAGGCTACTACATTCACTAACCGCTTCCCACTTTCCTCGTGCACCCGCAATTCGCTTTTAAAGATTTGACTCCACCATCAGGAAGATCGTGTCGGGGGCTACCACATTCCCTTTGACGGTACCCACTTCCGACGTTCGGTTCACCCGCAATTCGCGTTTGAAGATTTGACTCCACCATCAGGAAGATCGTGTCGGGGGCTACCACATTTCCTTTGACGGTACCCCCTTCCGACGTCCCGTTCGCCCGCAATTCGCGATTGAAGATTTGACACCACCATCAGTGAGATCGTGTCGCGGGCTACCACATTCCCTTTTACGGTACCCACTTCCGACGTCCCGTTCACCCGCAATTCGCGTTTGAAGATTTGACTCCACCATCAGGAAGATCGTGTCGGGGGCTACCACATTCCCTTTGACGGTACCTCCTTCCGACGTCCCGTTCACCAGCAATTCGCGTTTGAAAGATTTGACTCCACCATCAGTGAGATCGTGTCGCGGGCTACCACATTCCCTTTTACGGTACCCACTTCCGACGTCCCGTTCACCGGCAATTCGCGTTTGAAGATTTGACTCCACCATCAGGAAGATCGTGTCGGGGGCTACCACATTTCCTTTGACGGTACCCCCTTCCGACGTCCCGTTCACCCGCATTCGCGATTGAAGATTTTACTCCACCATCAGTGAGATCGTGTCGCGGGCTACCACATTCCCTTTTACGGTACCCACTTCCGACGTCCCGTTCACCCGCAATCGCGATTGAAGATTTGACTCCACCATCAGTGAGATCGTGTCGGGGGCTACCACATTTCCTTTGACGGTACCCCCTTCCGACGTCCCGTTCACCCGCAATTCGCGTTTGAAGATTTGACTCCACCATCAGGAAGATCGTGTCGGGGGCTACCACATTCCCTTTGACGGTACCCACTTCCGACGTCCCGTTCACCAGCAATTCGCGTTTGAAGATTTGACTCCACCATCAGGAAGATCGTGTCGGGGGCTACCACATTCCACATTCCCGTTGACGGTACCCCCTTCCGACGTCCCGTTCACTCGCAATTCGCGTTTGAAGATTTGACTCCACCATCAGTGAGATCGTGTCGCGGGCTACCACATTCTCTTTTACGGTACCCACTTCCGACGTCCCGTTCACTCGCAATTCACTTCTATTGGCGACACGAGAAAGAGAGACAGCGATTCGAGATTCACGAAACGTTAAACCGCGTGAGTTCGCAACGGAAGGTAAAAGGCGCCTGACTACTTCTCGAAGACGCGCGCGCGCGCCTCGCAAAAGGTCGTTAATTTCGCCCCTATGACAAAAAACAAAATTCCGCCACGCAGGAGTTGTGCGCGTTTACAACATCTTTCCGACGACACCAATTTCAAAAGAATCGGACCAAAACTGTAGTAGAAGATAGGAAAAAACTGAAAAACCTTCACGTTAGTATACTACGCTCGAGGATGACGCCCAGATGTCGCCAACCCCACATCATGTAGCCATGTCCCTAAGGTTGACAAATTTCACGGCCCTGTAGATACACGTACACCCGTTGCCTTTCTACAAGAGTTCTTCTACGCGCCCACATTTGCTGCCAGCCAGCCAGCCAGCCAGCCATCCAGCCAGCCAGCCAGCCAGCCAGCCAGCCAGCCAGCCAGCCAGCCAGCCAAAGTGAGATTAAAAGCTACTTTTTACAAAAAAAATTTTTTGCAAAAATGCGCTAAAAAAACTTTAAATGTCAATAAACGTTTTTTATTACAATAACGCGTCCTGATTTACGTGCGATACTAAACTCAATTTTAATAGAACATTCGGTCTAGATCCAACCCTATACAGAGCATAGGTCGAATAGTATTTTAAAATTTAGAAAATTATGGATTGTTGAGAGCGTTTAACTTTAAGATATCGAGTGCATATGCTTTGGAGCTCTTTCGAAAACACGCAGTCTTGATTTATGACTTGGTGCGGGGCCAAATTGTATAAAACTGTGCATTATTTTTAAAGCGAGACTAATATAAAAATCGTATATCTAATAATAATATCTTTTGCTCTTCGCGTTAAACAATCAATGTGGTATGACTGTCGCTGTCCTGTCCCTTAGTGTAAAGAATAG